GCGGGCGTCAGGTGTTAAAGATATTGCTGGAATGCTCCAGCATGCTGGGCTTCGCTGTGCTGGCTCATTCAATTCTGTGTGCAGAGCAGGTACCTCTGCGCATAGAATGCACCTACACCATAGGAAGTTATTATAAATGCAGCAAATTTGATAAAATTTCATTCAACGGATTCTAACCTCGAAAAGCAATGCCACAAGTGCCGGCGAGTACATAGGAGGTGGCGGATACACTCCAGGATCCCAGTTGATCAGAATATAGTGCGTCGAGGCACCAACCCAAAACGAAAATACTAGGATCAGCCAGCGACGTTCTGGTCGGCTTAATTTGCTCTGCAAAAATAATTTGGAAAAGAACCAAAGAACTTTAAATAATCGTATTTGTTACGTGGTTGAAATTAAAAACTGCTTTTTTTAAGTGTGATTTCCACAATAATGAATATAGAGCAGTGAGAAGTAGCGCTGCTCTCCTAGAGCAGGTCGAAGATTCGATTCCACCAGCGAAACAACCAGTCTCCCCACGATTCGTTTAATCGCTTCGATAACAAATTTGCACATGCTGCAGTGGAAAATCCACGAAAAGCCCGGTCAATAAATCCCCACGAAAAATACGAAAGTTGCCTGCAAGAATCAGAGAAGAAAAGAAAGGTGCATTCTGCCTTGAAAGGCAGGTACACAGAAGATGTGCTGGCAGGCTGAGTCTGCTGCACAAGGGCCGATGGTGTAATAGATAGCATATCGCGTCGGGTCTGAAGGGAAGTGGTTCGATTCCCTTTAGTCCATAACAATTTTCGACAATCGGCTCCGTTCGCGATAGATGCCAAGAAGTCAAACCTGTCGTCTCAAACCGTCGAGTGGAGGAGCTTCAACATATTGGGGAAAGAGTGATTGCTTTTGGCATTTGCTACCACTTTTGGCACTTGCTACCGTCTCTGCTTCCCACAAAATGATGGTTATGGAGAGGTTTGAAGACTTTCATGTTTTTTTTTGAAGTAATTGAAAAAGTCTCTTCATTTCTAAGGATTTTCTGATATTTTGGTCAGCAGCAATTAATGGTATGGCTGCTTAGCAATGCGAATGCAGTTATTTCAGTTGCTCTGATCAGTCCTGCAGCATCTCTCAGTGGTCACTCTGCTGGCCGTCTTAAAGTTAACTTCATTTTTTGAAGGCAGGAATGCTTCGTTTAGAATCAAACAGGAATTCGGCTGACAAACGGGTCACTGCACCAATTCTCGGTTTAAAATCAAACAAGAACTGATCATTGCTGCACCACCTGGTGGTCAGTCTGTTACCGATCCTGACGTTGATTTCATTTCTTGAAAGATTACTAGCTTAGTGGTTTTTTTTCAACAGAAGTATTTGGCTAGGCTTTAGTCATTTTGAGATGTTACTGGTGTGTGCTGGCATAAGTTGTAATCGTTACCAGCCGTGTGCTTTCTTCACATTCCAAAAATCCCAGATCACTTACCGCAGGTGTTTTCTTATTAAATAAATAGGCAAAAATTGGCGCCACAATGTAAATGAAAATTAATGCAAGAAGGCATTTTCGGAGCAGTATCGATATCAAAAAATAGCCAATCCACGAACTGGCAAATGTCTCACCACAACATTTTGCTGTCAAGATTAGCACTGCCCAAAAGTGACCACTGAAATTTCGCAGATTTTGTCACATGAATTGCAGCAAAACGACAATACTTCAAGTGAAATTTTAAAACAGAAAAAGGCTTGCCGGTTACTGGAAGTAAATGAATTGTGTATTTTAAGCAAAAAAAAATCAGTACTTCAAACAATTTGTACTTACGTGAAATTAAATTACCAGTGAAGTAACTGGGAATCGGTTAATACAGCTTTAACCACGAAAACGCTTCTTGGCGCAGAACAGTGAAAAGCGGTAGACAGGAAATCAAAAAGTTAAAATTTTCATAATTCACTCGTTTCAAGAGGCGAAAGCATTCAGAAGTAACCCGGGTTGTTGCAACTGCTAACAGCAACTACTCAGCAAAGCTCTCGATAGCTTTCTCTTTCAAGGATTATTTCTTAGCAGTGCAGTAATCACTTTCTCATGCCCATTGTCTGGGAGCAAAATGGTTGCTTTTTTTCAGCCTTGACCTGCCCTTTCAAAAGATCTCAAATGATGACGTTAAAAAAGCAAAACTAGAAAAATCTTTCTTGAAAAAGTTGGCAAAGCTTCATGTAAAAAAGTGGCAAGAAATTCCTGAGTTTCGTGGAAGTAAAAATTTTCAGGAACGGTTTTCTGGATTTATGCAACAACAAAATCATTCGCTGCGCCAAAAACAAAACTTGTTTGAGTGGTTAGAAATAAACAGAAAAAAGTTTTAAGCCTTCAAAAAAATATTGGGAAAAAGTCAAATGCTGATGTTCTAAACTTTGCTGTGCCTCCCACTGCCTCCAGGTTAATCTTCCATTTGGAACTGTTAAAGATCAAGCGTTCAAATCCTAAAACAGTTCATTTCCTCCTTCATAAGATTGAGAGAATTGTTAGGAAGGTCTTGAGGACTACATAAACAGCGAAGGGCTGAACGATTATCCAGCTACTCGTTTCTGGAGAGGCGAAAAAGAAATGAAC